CAACGCACCAGGTTTCCATACAGGGGGTGGGCTGCTCGGACCCCATGCGTGTGCTAGTGTGCCATAGAGGCCACATGGAGAAGGAGCCGAAGATCACGCCTCTCACTTAAGTGAGAGGTGCCGGTTTCGTGCTTGCAGTGGGTGATATGAGACGAGTTTGTGTGTACTGTATGTGATGACGACGGTGATGTTGGTGGTTGTTGTAGTGTTTGGTCTGCGGTGGTTTACTGCAAATTATCATGGAGACACATATGGCCGAGTAGGCCTATGCAATGTGTGAATGTGAATGGACAGCGCGGAAAGTTGAGGCGATAGCGGCGGGTGTGTGTTGATGTCCCCGGCACTTGTTCGCCTGTCTCAGCGCGAGGGATTCGCAGGTGGCCAGTCCACGTCGCTGGTTATGAAGGCAGTGGTGGTTGACGAAGCGTTGGGGGTGTTCTTGCCGGTGGTTGGAGTGGGAGAGGTGGTAGTCGTCGGGGGTGGGGTTGTGGCAGAGATGATGGAGTGAGCGAGCACACAGCCATGCTTCAACCCATTGTTCACCACGAACGCTTCAGAGATTGCACCGTTTTCCTGGACGCCTGCGAAATCCACACTGACTTTCCCTGCACCATTTGCGTGCTCAGATGGTCGAGGAGGACACGAGTGAATATTTTCCCTGTGATGCTGAGTTGTGAGATGCCCCTGTAATTGTCACGGAGTTGTCGGTTTCGTTTGCGCTTGTATATATAGACAATAGTTACGTCTTTAAAGTCTTGAGGAACCTGTCCTTACCATTGTATTTCATGGAAGGATGAAGTCAGCTTACTCATCAGCCGATGGCCGCCGTACTCAGCCGGGATTGCGTCAGATATCAGCGCCTTCCCACCGGACATCTTGTGTACAGTCCAAGTCATTGTTCGTTTCCACCTGGGGAAGTCTCTGGTGGCGGCGTCTGAGGTTGTGGACGGTCTATTGAGGGTGCTTCTGAGGTAGTTGGTCTAGCGCTTCAGACTGCGTTTTCATCTTAAGAAGTGTTGATCCGTCGGAGTTGATTAACGGTCTGGTTGCTCAGGTTGTACGGTCGTAGACCGTCCTGATTGGCGCGAAGTAATTCCTCATTTCGTTGTGGTCCGCGTATCCTGATATGTCCTCGACCTTGCGATCCGTCCACGTTTTTCACCTCTCCCACAGCTATTGTTGCGCCAGACGTCGGTATCTGAATAAAGCCGCCCTGTTCGTGTCGGTTCTGCGGATAACCTAGGCCTTGTGCTACCTGTTCTCGACAAGCAGGTCATCAGATGGGCCCTGGTGCTGATGACCTGCGCGACCCAGAACACTCATGGTGATGGAGTGAGTTGCATTACGCGGTCGAAACGACCATGTATCCACGGTGGTGTTTTCTCCTAGAGCCTGGAGTTTTTTTCAGACGCTGGGCCAATTTCTGGCATTTAAGCGGTGAGCAGACACATTCAGCATTATAGTATCTAGCTTACCTGATGATCGCTCACCCTGTGGTTTACTGTGAGGTTGTAATTGGACGAGGCGACGAGACCGTAATCCGTGCATCCATCGGCGTTGCAGATCGCTCTGGCCACCAGCACATCCAGTCGATCTCGCCTCTAGACGAGAACGTAGCCCAGCAGGCCCCCGGACCCCGCGAGTGAGGGTGCGTCCATGTCGCCGTCTCCCGCTTCGAAAGGCAGGTGTTGGCGAGGATGGGCCGGTGTTCTACGCAGGTTTGCGGAAGGAGGCGGCCGTTTTCGTTGCAGCCGCCGGTTCCGCGAGGGTCCAACACGCTCAGGCAGCGGGGTCTGTTTCTACATGGGTATTAAAGTCACAAATGGCAACCAGCTCAGGGCACCTTTTCTACCCCTATCCCCCATAAGGCGGTAGGCGTTTCTGTCCCTAAATAGGACTGCTTAGACATGCCAGACAACTGCCGGACTCCACCATTGTCACGGCTTGGTTTGTTGAGAGATCGGCCTGAACTAGCCTTGGCGGCTTACGGGATTGCATGTCGCTCTCGCCCTAGGACTTTTTGAAAGTTGAGATGAGATGGGGGGCGGGAGGGAGGGAGGAAGAGCAGAATTACCGGTCAGTGGAACGCACACAACACCTTGGCTATTAGGCAGCGCCTAGCTTCGGTGAATCACAAATGCCAGTTGGGTGTCAGTTAAGGACCGTGCCGCTGTCAGTCAGACTATTTGACTGAGAAGTGACAACGTAATGGGGAGGCATATCACCATCCTAATTGGTGGAATTAGGGTCCGATGTCCAGACCTGAAGGGGTCCAGTCTTTTTCGCTTAATTTGCACGCTCAAGGCAACACCAGATCGCTCCTCCACTTGAAGTGATGCATTTGATTCTCACGGCGCTTACGTGCGGTTACTTCTGGCTGATCATCATACTGGCATATACCGCTTCGCTAGCAGATTCTGTGTTGTCGAAAAGGATATTTATGTTTTGACAGAGGTTATTAAGGTTTTCATGGACCCCGTTTGGTCACCGGTGGGGTGAAGTAAGTCCCTATCCTATGGTATCTCGAGGGCAACTCTTTCCTACATACACAGGACTTCATGTGTCCGTTCATCCGGACTGTTGCGCTGACTTTTCAGTCGCCCAGTTCTCATTTCAACAGTTTTGTATTTAGTGTTTTTTCTGCCTATAAGGAGTTTCGAGTCCTATAGTAAGTGGGTCAAACTAAAAACAATCCTTTTTTATTAGCCCGGTCCAGCAGTTATTTTTACATGCGACCATGGCGATACGTCTTGATTCAGAATCCATAAAAAGCATCACTGGTCAAAAGAGCACCCATTAACTTGTTACATCCCAAACCTGGTGTTTTTTTTTCAGTCTCAACAAACTAGCCAATTGTGCGCACACTATTTTGCCTTCATGCACTTGACGTCAATTTTCTGCTTTTCTCGACCCCAGTGCCTCGGGCCGTTACCGCTCGTGCAGCACGAGCTCTCTAGGATTTCCGCGGAGTCAGTGGCAGCCGCTGAGGAGACTGCAGACGGCGCCAAACCGGAGGACAGAGAACGTGCTTCTGCCAGTGGCACTTCGGACAAAAAGGTCACTGCAGACGGCACCTACGCCACGCAGTCAGCTCTGACGATCCGTGAGTCGTGTTAATTTTATTTACGCAGCTTAGCACTCCCTGTGGCGGATGGTTACGCAAAAGGTAACCTCTTACGTTCGATCGCGCAACATCCTCTCTCCTTTGCCACCTTCTTTCATTAACTCTCCTCGCCGGAGGGCATTATGTATGTCGACATGCCTGTTTTTGATAGCGTAAGATTCGATGTAGTGCTCGGTACTGTCCGAGCAACGCATTTCTCGCTTTTACGCAAAAATGTACCGAAAACAAAAACGTATAGACAGTTGAGCTGACGCGAGGGTCAGAGGTGGTTATGTGTCCCCACCTCTAGTAAACAAACCCCAGCCGCCCGTAATTCAGGACCAATGGTAATAGGGGTCTTCGCAGGTGGGGCCAGGGAACGCACAGGCGACGACGTCAAGCAATTTTATGAAAAAGAAAAGCTATTGGGGATGCGCGGTTGTACTTTGAGTGATTGAGAAATAGTTGCCCTAACTCCTAACACCTTACTATAGCCCCTAACCCTAACCAAACAGTATTGTGTCCATCAGGCGGGGCTACATAACCACATCTTACCGACGCGAGAGTAAGGCTCTCGGTGAACCCTGTAAAAGCTTTATTTTGGCCAAAGTTTATTTCTCTGCTTCAAATTGTCACCTTAGCCCCCTTTTCTCACACCCGGTGCTCATAGGTTTTCTTTACTTGTGATCTTCCATTCTCTATTTGGAGCTTTTATCAAAAGGTCCGCCAAGCTTGTCATTTACTTTTCGCCAATAGGTTAGGCGAAAACTAGACACGGCAAGTTTGTTCAGCCGGACATTGTCACCGCGATAATGCGTGCCGATTGAATGTTATCTCATGCTTTTCTGGCACATTTATAACTCGCACTGTCAGCTCGTTCTCTCAGAATATTCTGGCAGTTTCCGACGTTTGATGACATCCGGTTTTAGTCCGCAACATGTTGCATGTCGACAAAGCCGCCAACATTGCGTGTTCACTCCTCATTTAGTTACAGTCGCTTTTGGCTTGGCACATATATTAGGCACCTTACAGTACTAGGTCTTCAACTTTTGCCGTTTTATAAACGAAAGCAGGCAGCTGGCACGTAACGCAGTAACTCATTTGACAATGATGCTCCGAAGGAGAGAAAAATTCGAGAAGCATGCTTGAAAAGGCAAGTTTTCGGGGATAGGGAAACTCGAAGGTGCCCCACGCGACGGCAAATCCTCAAAATTCTAGAGAACCTTCCGAAATAACTTTTGTACGGTAGTCTCCGGAAGGATCGCTTCGGGTTTGGCTGAGGAACTGGGTGTTTCGCACAATGCCTGGTCGAACTACCTACTTACGATTGGGAAATGGTAAAATTTAAACAAGTCTGCCCCTTAATTTGGCTCAACATCATGTAAAGACTCGAGTGGACATGTGTTCTTAACTCCCACTGATAACTGAATAGGACTCTTTGCTAGCACATTTTTTTTATATTTCACCAGAATGGGTTTTGTAGGACAACGAGGAAAGGTCTGTGTCGTGACCCGATAGGGATAAATCTTCACCATGCATGTCAAAGTTTATGGTCACCGTTAGCAGTCTACTGTCAACTGCAACTTTTCTAGGCGTGCTTGCCGTCTTTTGCGAATAACAAGCGAGGTCACGTCGGCCTTGCCGATCTATTACATACTTCCAGCCAATATGAACAATTTCCACGTTAAAGTTGAGTACCAAAAGCACGACGGAAATCTCCGAAATGACCCAACGCAAGTTACCATACTTCGCTAATATTTGGCTATTTCAAGTTTGAAAAGTCAAATTGGCGAACACGTGTTTTCAGTAACTCTTCATCAGGCCAAAACGGTTACAATGAAGTTTAAGTTATGCGAATTACATGACTTATAAATGATACGGGGACAATTAACATCGATCGTTCCCACGCCACTCGCATCACGAGGCGTGCTATGGCGTGGTCGGCGTGTCGTGGTCATTGGGTTCAGGGGGCGAGGAAGAGGGGGGGGCATAGGCTGTGAGTACGTTGGGTACCTTGTGCACACACCCTGGCATCAGGAGGTTGGGGCGACTTTGGGGTCGGCGTCGGCCACGGAAGACAGAGACGTATAAAAGTTGTACCTAATCTGTGTGTCCATACGATTCATGTTCAATTCGTCCAACACGCACTTTTTTAAATTGCCTTTATTATCCACACCTCTATTTCCAGATGTGACCGAGTAGCGTACTTGTGTTTAACTCCAATGAGAGATTCTTGTTTTTGTTGCTTTGAGTCGTCAACTACCTCCCGTAATCTCATCTCTTCTTTTACTAGGATCTACCCTGAATGATCGGCAGGCCACCTTTAAACGCCCCGTTATTCAAGCCGCCCTGTTCGCTAACTCCTTCATGACAGGAATTGCACTCTCAGTGTCTTTAGTCAAACTCTTCTGCCGCTATTTGGAGGGTTTGAACGAGACGCTCTTATCTACTACGGCCGAATTCCAACGCCGAAAGAACAAGTTCGCCGCGGAATGTCTTCTCATAATTTCGAGCATGGTTCACCTGGCCCGCAGTGGTCTCATCCCTCACCGCACTGACCCTGATGTCATTGAACGGATGTGGCTCTGCTTGGTTGTACGTGATTTACTCTCCCTAAATTTACCTGTCCGCTTTTTCGTCGACTGGTGCTGATGTCCTTTGTTTCATACCGACTCACCCCTAACTGCCCTCGGTGGCCTCTTTTGTAGTGCCTGTTTCCTCACCCGTCCACCTTCCAGGCGTCCGACATCTAGGGCCGAATTTGCTCCATGCACCACGGCAGATTTTGGATTTACCGCCTCGAACGTTCCATCTCTTGTAGCCCACATTTGGGCCACAAACGCTGGGAGGATGGGTTGCTCTGCGGGGTCTGCTAGTGTGTATATCCTGCTGTTGGTTGGAGTTGCATAACCTCTAAGGTTGAGGTGTTGCCAACAGCAAAGGCGTAGTTAATTCTAACAACAATGCTTGATGTGCGAAAGCATGCATTCAGTTGTTCATCCAGGGCAATCAGCGTCCCAAACACGCGGGCGTTTGTGATGGGGGTAGTCGTCGTTGGCAGCGTCCCTCGGCGTAGCCTCGACGTTCTTCTTGTCGCCGTATTGAACTGAAATATGTCTGACAAGACCAATACTGTCATGCAATGTGCAACTGCAGTGATGGCACTAAAGGCGCTCGTCACCAAGGCGGAGCAAATATACAATCAGTGGCTGACCTCTCTATAATCAGTGACTGCGAACGTTACCAACTGATTGGCCGATTCTGTTTTCCAAACGGAGGGTCAAGCTGCAATGGCTCCTTCTCAATATCCCCTTTATGCCAATTCTATGCGAGGAGAAATCTAAGCCCGCCTCCCCCTTCGATGCCTACTTTGTGTCACGGGTAGACCTGAATTCGACCACATCATCATCATCATCATCATCATCATCATCATCATCATCATCATCATCATCATCATCATCATCATCATCATCATCATCATCATCATCATCATCATCATCATCATCATCATCATCATCATCATCATCATCATCATCATCATCATCATCATCATCATCCTCCTCATCCTCATCATCCTCCTCCTCCTCCTCATCATCATCATCATCATCAACAACAACAACAACAACAACAACAACAACAACAACTGTTTGACAGGCTCGACCAATGCGTGGGGAATAAGGGGGGGAGAGAGAGAGAGAGCTAAGCAGACACTCGGAAAGGCATTTTTGCGTACTACTAGCTTATTCTCACAAAAATCCATCTTGCTTGAATCCATCACGGCGCGCTAAATATTGTAGCCCGAAGGGTTGTCAACTGACGTGATAACTGGATCCTTCTGAGGACGGCGAGTCAGGCCGCAGTGCCCCCCCCCCTCCTCCTTAATGTAACCTTTGCGACGCTCTCGTCCATACGAGATTCAAGCCTGGTAAATTCATTGGGAGCGAAGTCGTGCGTGGCACGCGTAGAGCGGATGTTTAGCTTTGTCAGTCCTTGCGTCCGTCCCCACCTCCGGCCATCTTGACGTGGTCTTGCCATCGGAGCAAGGTGTTGCAAGAGAGGGTGCGGCAGAGGCATCGCGAGCCTCCCATCGCCATAAACGAATTCTCGCGCCAGTGATTGGTGCTGCGCCCATTCCCTGGGGCACCTGGTGGGCGTCGTTGCTTGCAAAGATCGAACCCTCGTGGACTTCGCCTTGCCAGCAAATACACACGCCCCCATCCTTCTATTCAAATATGGTGGGTGCGCACAGTTCGCCACCCCCTTCGAGGGACAGTACTTGCCCTCGTCGCTTGTGACGGACGCACTACCTGGCGGTATGTATGAACTCTGATCAGTCTTGGCAGTGACCACTAGAGTCCCTATTAATCAATGCCTGACTCCCACTTGCCGTTGATGACGTTTTTGGTTTGTTCTGCGCCACAGGTTATATCGCAAATGAGTCCACTTCACTCTTTCTGTCTCCTAAAGGCGATTGCGGAGGCCCGGCCGGACGTTATTACCGTAGTGGAAAAACTTGGCCGTCACAGCCTCGGCGAACTACTGGACACGCAGGATGCGGAGCAGAAGGCGAACGCCAAGAAGAAGCAGCAACAGCTAGCTGGCGACGAAGCATCCGAAAAGACGGTCGATGCCGGTGTTGACTTCACTCTTCTTTCCGCTGCTGCTGACGCTAATGAGCAGGTTGACCAGTTTGCCCTGACACTCAGTCAGGCATTGGGATCTGCTACCAAACAGGGTGATGCCTATGCGACCTCTAAACTTAAAAAGGTAGTCTATTTAGCTTAACCAGTCCACTGTTTTTACTTGTTGATTTCATGAACTCTCGTGCTGTTTGTCCTTCTTGTAACTTTATTCAGAAAAAAACGCGATAAGTTAACAGTTGGACAGGATGGACCGGTCTCCTACTTGCACTTGGTATCGTTATAGTAATATCTGATCCTTGCCTTGGCGGACTCTGTGAGGTCTGTTTTAGTTGGCTTCTTCGTCGCCTTCAGATGAGCTGCGGCTTCGAATCAGGCGCAGCAACCCTGAACTCACGGGGCGAGCCATTAAGAATGTTCATTAGTCGACTGCACTGAGCCTGATTCTGAGTTGACCTCTCCACATAAACGATGGCGTAAAACCAAGGATGGAAACTCTGTGTTCATGAGACGGACGATGAAGAATGTGCTCAAACCACAACAGTGGTCTTGCCTGGATGCCACGATATCTCCTCGCGGTGCTACTGCACTAGTGTAAACTGTTTCCTCTGAGATGAAGTTGGTATCCTACACTCGTCTGGTGGTTATCTGGCAACGGTGGTTTTGCACTTCTAGTTTTCCCCCGACTTATGCGTGCACTGTCCAACTTTCGGAACTGTGTAGATGGACTGACCGGACGGACGCCTGGTACTCGCGAATCTTGAGGCGATGGAGGTTTCGCGACGAGGGCGTAGCCACTTAGGGTTCGCAAAAACTCGCAAAGATAATGTCGTTCTTGCTGCGTCAATTTTTCAACTGCTTCACCTAGACATACTCTAAACTGTTCACTTCTTCAAGCTGACAGCCATTAATCCCGAAAGACCTTGTCTTGGCCAGGGATGCAGCTCGAAAACACTGACCTTCTCGACGTTCACGAATAAGCAGGCTGATTTGACAACGTCGTTCACCCCATGACACCACAGACAGTAGAACGTTTAAGTTTGAGGCTAGCAGAGGACAGGGGAGCGATGGGTCGTCAGTCGAAGTTGGGTGGGCGCCTGAGATTCTCTCGCCAACTCAACCTTGGTCGAGTTATCAGTATTAAAGCCGCCATTCACGTCGAAATGGAGTCGCTTAAAGCAAAGAACCTAACGCCGCTTTGTCAACTAAGTTGATGAAACTTTAAATTATCGCAGACGTCCGATGACCGCTCCATAGAAGTCGCGACTTCGTCCCGCGTACCTTTGCGGTCATCTTTAGTTGACTCTGTCGTCGCTTTTTGAAGTTTGCGGAGGAAATTTTTTGGTGCGAGACCTAAGCCGAATTTTCTAGACAAGCAACTGTGAAATTCTTGAGCTGAACCAGTTTACCACCCCTCCCCTCCTTACGCGCCCTCTAGTGTTTTCAACCATCACTTATCGTATCTGATCTGCGTATGGATCGAAATTTTGTCGCAACCAATGTTTGTCTCTCATAAATTCATTATACTTCGTTGCATCAAATTTGAATCATGGCGTCATGCTATATGGCCTGAATTTGTTGAACAGCACTCTATTGATGAGACCGAATTCTGGACATGTCATGTTTATCTCACTCGTTTCAAATTCACGATAATCTTCCCTCTAATTGGTAGTCAACGAACATATACATGATTCGCATCGAAAAGTGCTGTCAACTGTAACCTGACGAGCCGAGCATGAATTTGTCACAGCTGCTGTGAAGATCATCAGAAAATCTGTCGTGCGGCTTCTCATAGAAACGGTCAAGATCGTCTAGCATGCTTTTCGGCAAGACCGCTTCTTCATGCTTACAATGATCAATGTAGCGAAGCAGAAATATACCCTCTCTTCTAGTATTATATTTTAAGAAGGCTTGATGAGCTTCCAAATGAGTACAGGGGCATAGAAAATCAATAGAAAAAATCCATACAGCTTGAGTAGTCATTTTTTGCCTAGTGTGCTTTTTGCCGACGCCGAAAAGAAGTGCATTCCAAAGCTGGCGCCCTGTCGTGACTGAAATATCTGGGCATAACGTTGCATGATAATCAATATTAAAACCTCACCCAAGTAATTTTTTAGTCGAAAGACTTTTCGGAATTTCGGTTAACATTCCATGAGACCAGTCACTGACTGGGTGCTTCAGACGATGTGGATGCAACGTCCCACAAAACTTTTACACAGAATAACAAACCTACTAAAGGGCTATTAGTAGCGTGGCATTCTCACTTCAACTCTTGACCATCTTAGTCAGGGTCTTCGAAGGCATGACGTAGTATCCTCAAAATGATTAAATTACGTCCACTTGTTCGTTTTGACGTCTGCGTGCTTTCGTATTTGAATAACTTCTCTCACCGTTTCAATTGCAGATACATCAACTAACCGGTTTTTCGGACCCGGTTTACGCTGAGGCCTTTGTGAGTGTCAATCAGTTTGATATTGCCCTTGATGTGCTGTTGGTGAACCAGACGAACGACACTCTGCAAAACCTGACCCTCGAACTCTCTACCCTCGGCGACTTGAAGTTGGTTGAGAAACCCCGACCTCTGACTTTGGCTGCCCAGGATTTCGCCAACATTTGTGCCAACATAAAGGTGCGTTGCTTTGTCAAATTATTCTCCGCGGCTATACTCCGATATTTTTAAACAGTCCTATTCCTTGGCCTTACGAACAATGCTCTTCTTTCAGGTCTCCTCCACCGAAAATGGCATCATTTTCGGCAATATCGTTTACGACATTCGGGGTTCTGCTGGCGAATCCAACTACATTGTTCTGTCCGACATCCATATCGATATCTTGGAGTACATTCAACCCGCCTCCTGCTCCAATTCTGAATTCCGACAAATGTGGTCCGACTTTGAGTGGGAGAACAAGGTTTGTCGTGGGAAGATACGGCGGGATGCACTCATCACTATAAGCACGATAATCGCATCAAAACCCCTTTTTGCTTGGCCTCTTTTACTTCGCCGATGATTTTATCACCACTTAGTAACTTGAAAGCCGGTTTGTCGGAGCAGCTATTGAAGATAGATGCAAGGATTGGTTATTCGAGCCGACTGAGAAAATAGAGCACAGGGACTCCTGAAATACGGGATGTTAGTATTAGTTTTTCACAGTTGGGTCAATATAAATTATTCAAAGTCTGCCAAAATATCTATGAATTAGGTGAGCCTGGTAGTCACCTGGTGTATTCTAGGTGAATTACTTAGGAACTCCTGTTTGGGCAGTCAACTTACTGTATCAGATTTGGTGGATTCCAGACGTTGCAGTAGGTTGGGCCGGTAACTTGACCCAAACGTGATTAAACTCGCGTCGTCCGGCAAGGCCTCGTAGCTCAAGTGGTTAGAGCGTTGGCCGTGCTAAAGCCTTCCCCTTACTGCGTGGGTTCGAATCCCACCGAGGCCTCTTTTCTTTCCCCCGACGCCTTTATCACCACTTAGCCCGTTTATAGGAGCAGCTACTGAAAATAGAAGCTAGGGTTGGTTATTTGAGTCCACTGGGAAAATAGAGCACAGGGACTCCTGAAATACGGGATCACAGCACTAATTTTATCGGTAGGGCAGACGGGCGCAGCAGTTAGCGGAGTCTGTAGAAGCATTGAAAAAAACTCACATTCATGCCATATGCTTGTTTTATTACTCCATCGAGGTGGCGGAGCAGACCATGCAGTTTAACGAATGTGAGTTAGGGGCGTGTCAACGGGCGAAACGCAGGTAATCCAAGGTTGCTAGTTCAAGAGGCCTGATTGGGCGAGACAGTATGCGCCAGGCGGACTTAACTCTAACTTTTTGACCTAATTTTTCAATCGTCTTCCTTAAGCTTATGCGGAAACCCCAGTGTGGCATGGCTACCGAACTCAGATGAGTAGACGTGTTGTAGAAGTGAAAACATAGGCCCGCATTTCCAATAATTGCTGAGATAGGAGGCAGCCGAAAACTAATTACCCTCAGACGGAATCGACCAGTCGACCCTCGCATTCGTGTCAGGTGCTTCGCTGTTGCCAATCATGCGAACCAAACGATAGCTCATCCCTCCCAATTCTGAGTGCGAACATAAGTTCAGTCTGAATGAATGTTTGGCTAGGACTTCTGCAAGGCAGGCATCGTGTGTGCGGAACAAGTAGTCTTATAATGCCTTCGACATCTGGTTAGTGGAATATTTGGTCCTTTTTACCCCTCTCCCCCCTCCCCCTCCGTCTTTATGTTTGGCTTTGTCCTGAAGAACTCTTGCCTAGGGGCAATGGGAGCTACTCCAGAACGCCTCTTTGACCTCGGTTATTCAGAGTTAGCTGGATTAGGTCCCTTTATGAACGTTTTTCAGCATAACACGAGACCTCTAGATAATAAATCGTGCTTGTTTAAGGTCATAAAGAAATACCCTATCATAGGATGCGTCTTGATTCTATCGCACTCTCTGTGTATCTTTTTTGCCCATAACTCAAACCCATGTCATTTTCTTTCTCCTAGGTGACTGTCAATACTCAGGTGACGGACTTACGCACCTACATGTCCTATGTAACTAAGATCACCAATTTCCGATGTCTAACGCCACCTGAGGCTTTGCGTGGTGATTGCAACTACTTCTGTGCCACCCTCTACGCATGCAGTGTTTTCGGTGAGCATGTTCTAGCCAGCCTTTGCTTGGAGAAGCCGGCTGATGATCAGCCCGTCAGTGGCCATGTCCGCATTCGTGCAAAGACGCAGGGCATGGCGGTGACCATGGGCGAGAAGGTATGTTCTTGGTTTTGACATTTGTGTGGCTGTGGCAATTATTCTTAAGGATACTATTTTGTTAAAAGCTCGATTTTAGGTGCTTTATCTGAACAGGGACAACTTGGCAGACCTCTGGCTGCTTCATTTTACTATCACCATTATTATTATTATTTCTAGGAAGTTTTATGAAGTCAAAACGCCACATAAAGGAAGCAGTTCACACTCTGCTTAAGACATGAGACTCGTCAAATAAATCTCATTGAGAATTCTTCGTTCACCGATAAGAATCGAGATCAGGCGTCCAGCTATCTGAGCCGAGGTTTCATCCTCCACTGCCGTAAACGTGCCATTCTGTCGCAAATACTTGAATCCTAGCCCACTAAAAGTCAGCAATTGATACTTTCCTCACTACGGATAATTTGGTGAGCCGTTGTGTCGTTGCTTTAGACCTAGAGTAGGATCAAACGGGCTTGTGGCAGGCGCTGCGCGGAAGCCCAGAGTCACGCCAGCCACTGCATCAGTTTTCATTGTCGCCTATATGTTTGCGAAGAACTTGCCACCAGTGCATGGTTGAAAAAGAAGAGAGAGGGAGGGAGAGAGCGGAACCGGTGGAACGCGGGTCTAGCGCACAAGTCCTTTTTATGGACATCGTGACGCACCTTGGAATGTTACAACACGCCAAAATATCATGATCTGAAAGACTGCTGACGAATGAACCCGATATTTCATGGGACTGGTAATCACGCTGTAATGGCTCCCTGGTGTGGTTTTTATGGCAACGGTTTCGACTGTGGGTTGCCAGACCGCCTTCTTTAGGTCCAGCATGTTTGCGTTTAAAGGCATCTTCTCTTTGTCATGCTGTTGGAACTTCCTTCGTGTGTGTAGAGGACGCGAGACGCAGATGCTGCACAAGTGTCCTTTCCTACAGCACAACTCGTACGTACTTACCTTCCGTCTTTCCAGGCAGGGGTTGCTTTCATTGGGTTAGATGGGCGAGTCGGCAGTTTGGCCGTCACGAGCGGCGCAGCCCCGCGGAGTGGACGCAGCGTCAGCGACCAGCGCGTAAGTTAGTTTATAGTAGGACAGACTTGCACAGCATCCGTCGCTCCCTCCCTTATCTCACCACTTCGCTCCGATTGCAAGACAATTCAAAACAACTGAAGGTGGGTGCGGGTGCTGTGGCTGATAAGGCCAAACAGCTTGGTCCTCCCTACATATACCAGGCTTTTGTAAGGGCGGCTCGGATCTCACGTGGCAATTGCAATCTGACTCTCCGTCCTTTATTAGCTTCGAAACACCTCGTGCGGATTTGATTATTCCGTCTGTTGACAACTTTTCAGGCCATGTTTCAAGCGTTGTAGATGGACGAAGTACCACGTAGCGAAACGCCTATCCTACCTGCTAGAAACCTGTACTCGATTTCGTGCAAGTCATAGAAGTTTGATTGAGCAAGATCTGCCTCAGTGGGCCTCCCTGAGTATTCGAAGGAGAAGTTATTACATATATTTGGCGATTTGAACTTACTTCAGCGTTGACATTACTTGCTGAAATGCAGCCTTTAAGCAGACTCCAACCCTCTCCTACCTACCCCTTTTCTGCTCTGAAAAAAACCCCTGCGATGCCTTTATAGATCAGTTCTGCGCAAAAGCAGTGGCACGATGCGAAACCCGGCACTGTAAATGGCAAACTGAAGGACACTCCTAAAGCTCCCGTCAGTCCGCTGGAGACCGCTCCGCAGATTGAACTGTGACCTCTTTGTGATTTTAATTTGCTGGGCTCTTCCTTCTGGTTTGGATATTTTCCTTAACTACTGAATTACTCGATAGTTTACCACTTTCGCCCGAGGTTTTGTAACAAACCAGACTTTCTTGCTGCGCTTGTACCTGTATTCACTCTCTTCTTCTCATCTGCTTCAACATTCTCCTACTGGCCACTCTTTATTCTTGACTGGTTTACATTAATTTGACCCCCTATTCCTAAGGCTTCCTCCGCGGGCGGGCATGAACAGTCGCAGTCAGCACTGGATTGCAATTCCGTACGCGTCTTTTAACGCTTTTCCTGCCCGAGATAGGTCCTTGCGTCACCATTAAGATGATGAGCAGTGGGGTCAAATTTTGCCCTTTTCATCTACTGGTTGTTGCTATTGGCACTCAACTCATACTCTGCGGGTTCAGTTCAGCCTCGGGAAGTTTGTGTGGTCGGTAGCCGGGTAGAGTGCGTAATGTTGTTCCGGGCTTTAAATCGTCACGGTAGGTTAAAGGCGATGATTTCGCTCTCCTCGAGAGCTTTTATTCCGTATTGGCTCACCAAACGTTTTTTGTTTTTCGAAGAAGGGTCACTTCAGCCTCCAAACGCTTTAATTTCTCCGAGCTTTAACAGGCTTCACTGGACCGTATTCTGTCAGACCTTTCGCTGTGACCCCGAAGGAGGTCCTTTTGGTAGGCGTACTTAAACAAGGATATTTTGCAATAGCAGTGGCTGAGGTAGGTCTGTGGGCGCGTTGGGCGGCTGATGTGTTTCAGGTTTTGTTAGCACTTTTCTCAGCCAGTAGTACTCCCGACCAACGCTTTTGACTGCAATTAGCAACATTTGCGGAATGTGCCCAAAAATGAGACCAACAAACGGGTCGAACGGATGACCGCACGACACGGTTTAAAATATACCCACGCTACCGTGTCAACAACTGGAAGGCGCAATGCGTTGATTACCTTTGGGTTCTTGCCGCTGCTTATCCATCTGTAAAAAATTCGCGCTGTGTGGCTGCGCATGTTGATGCCTTCGATTGCGTGTGCCGGTCAAAGGCGTACTAGTTGAAGATGGCTCAAATTAGCCCCAGAACCGTCGCAGTCTCGGCCTTACTGTCCTTGTGATCGGACATATTTCAGTGTTACTGCCCTCGACCCGGCACCGTTGCCCCGTTGGAGGCGTCGAGGAGGGGGTCAGTTCAAAACCTGGCTCGACACAGTTCGTCAAGGCATGGAGGTGGTTCTTGGACCTTCCGTATTCGGTCTCCGTCGTTGGCCAAGGGAATGGGTTAAGCTGTCCAGATCTGCTGCCGCGGATCGTCACGCGTGGAGAGGTACAGTTCGGGACATCATCGAGGCCGGCTAGATCAGGCATGATCGCAGCCGTATCAAGTACAAGTTACTGTCCTTGTAGGTCAACTTTTGGTTTGGTAGATGACTGTTAGTTCGTTATATCCACTGAGTTATACGTGTGTAGTGTAATTTCGCCCCCTTCCAGGCGCAGGAGCAAGCCGTTGGCTATGCCTGCCCTTCTTCATCTGCCTGTCACATTGTCAGAAATGATCTTTGGGCGTAATCAATGTAAAGACTGAATGACCCATTGATTTAACAGCTTGTTTACCAGTATGCGCCACGTTAAGAAGACTGCTAAGAACCTTTCGTGTTTATTTTCACACCAGTTAGTACGCGTCATTAAAGAGAAATCCATTAAATGAGTGGGCAAGACAGAGCCCTGGCCATTGCATCAGGGAACCCGCCTCAATCTAGCCAGCTGTCTTCACCATGTAGGCGTTTTCCTTCAACCGGAAACCCCCCTAGGTGGTACCGGCAAATTCGTTGTGCCGCTTTGGCTATTTGCGAGTATTCTAGTGCGCTGCCTATCATTACGGTTCGTTTCTCCAACCTATGCATGCATTGTTTCCGGAGATTTCAGCGATATGCTTGTTTAGTCTGGAAATATCAAGGACGCTCACAGTCTGTCGGACGATAGGCGTGGGTTTTTGTGAATTACCCCGCCAACTGCCCACTAGCTACCGCACCTATGCTACGCCCTCACACCGGTGACTACGAACAGCTTATTCCTGCACAGCCTCAGCTCAGGGTGCAGTCTTTGGATGAATGATTGGCAAATTCGCAAGCATGGCTTGGAAATCGGGTGTCATACTTCTGAACTGCTACGTCCACTTTCAGAAAACCAGCGTCAATTCGTACCCCGTGTGTGAAGATATCCTCGAATTAAATCGAACCTACCGAAGGTGTAATTTACTAATGCGCATATTGTGTTGTGCATAGACCATGGGTTTCATTCGGATTTAAACCCAGACAGTGAGACCCCAGTGTACGCTGATCCGGTTAACTGTCGGAACAGCTACCGGATGGGCCAGATCTTGGAGCTTGCCCGAGAAGTGTAGCAGCAGCAGCAGGCTAAACCCTAGTTCCCTTGTTCCCATCCTGCCCGTGGGGACTCTTAGCTTGGCCATTATTTCAGGGGGCGTCAGACAAAGTGCTGACTTTAATGTACCTCGGAGTTTTCCTTCGTGACAATGGAGAGAGAAGTGAAATTCTAGAGGAGACCCACCAACAGAACAGATTGGGAACCTTAGCAGCGCAAAAAACAGGTGATCTTTAGAAAATATTTGAGTCGTCACACGCACAAGTTGCTGACATCTTTAAGGAAGTACAATCCCAAGGTTTCGTTTTTTGCAACTATCCTATGGAGAGAATTTTGGGCAGCCATCTGCTGCGGAAAATACCAGAAAGACAAAAGCAGGCCGTATAGGTTTATTTGCTTGTTTGGGTCGCCAGTCGAATCGGGACGATGTTGTCCCTAAACCAAAAGTCGAGGAGGAAAGCCCATATTTTCGCCACAGAACTACGAGACCGGCTGAGGATCTAGTCGAGTTCGGTCTGAATAGTCCATGCGCGTCTAGGGGTCATGCTGATCAGTCGGCTGTAGGAGCTTGCGATAATTGAGCGCGCTTGACGGGGATGGAGAAAGGAGAAGCGCCGCGTGGGGGAAAGGGCTGTGCCTTGTTTTTCCTGAGCCTCAGCTCGTACAAACAGCTTTGGCATGAATCCGTACTTTGAACGGCTCTGATTAGATCTGGCCTAACGTTGGTCGGTTTAGTCGCACGAGCATGTCATTCTATCGCAAAAAGCAGAGGCACCAGGAGGAGAATTAACACTAGCCTGAAGAACACTCAAATGACACAAATAAGAAGTCACCTGCCGAACATTAATAGCCAGCTAGCCTAGAAGCCAGGCAAGCCGTGTGTGATAAGGCGGCAATATGCAGTAGATGGGCTAACTCATGAAATGTCAACCGAAATTCCGAAATGCGTTTTCGTTTCGAAGAGATTATTTAAGTAGGGTTGTAAAACTAGTCAGCCTGCAACACAGTTCTATAATATTTCAATTACCTCAGGATGCCGGCTTTCGAATGAACTTCCTTCCAGCTGCATGCAAAACCACACTGTAAAAAATGACTATACAAGTGGCATGGGTTTTTCTCACCGGTTTTCGATGCCCCTTAAAGTCTAGTTATATTTCATGGAAAACATGCATAAAAATATTCATTCTTTTGCTCATTCGGTAGATAATTACGTTTTCTTCTAATTTTATGCTCGAAGGAGGGACACAATTCGGTTTTGAAAAAAACGTTTTCCAATTCCCGAATAATTTTGAACACGCTCTACCGTCACACTTGGATTCACGGTCTCCATACTACAAGCCGTATATTTTCCGCGTACGAAAAACCCCACATTTCTCTAGGGTAATAAAGGGGACCATATAGGGTTCATAAAATGAGGCAAGGGATTTGATCCATAATGTTAACCTTACAAACCACATGGGTAAATGCAGAGATATTACGACTTATGAACGGCCATTTCACGGTATTTAAAAGTCCCACAATTAAAAACGTTATTTTAAAACCGAATTGTGTCCCTCCTTCGAGCAGAAAATTAGAAGAAGACGTAATTATCTACCGAATGAGCAAAAGAATGAATATTTTTTATGCATGTTTTCCATGAAATATAACTAGACTTTAAGGGGCATCGAAAACCGGTGAGAAAAACCCATGCCACTTGTATAGTCATTTTTTACAGTGTGGTTTTGCATGCAGCTGGAAGGAAGTTCATTCGAAAGCCGGCATCCTGAGGTAACTGAAATATTATAGAATTGTGTTGCAGGCTGACTAGTTTTACAACCCTACTTAAATAATCTCTTTGAAACGAAAACGCATTTCGGAATTTCGGTTGAAATTTCATGAGTTAGTCCACCTACTGTAGTTCAAGGTATGAATACACTCCGGACAACAGGGGATATCCTCAACAACGGAAACTAGAGGAGAGGAGGGACGTTCGGACAATGATCCCCCAGCAGAAATGCCAGAGGGTTTCAAGTCAGTGAACCGGTATTAATCAACTAGACAGAATATTTGGTTGGGAAATTGGGTCGCATGGATTTCAACGCAGGGACGTTTGACTATTTCGACGGGTATTCAGGCATGATTTACAAATCAAATATATACGACCAGAACAATACTGAGGATAGTGTAAAAGAGCGAGCATAAGGGATTATGCTAATTCTCCGATATCCTTCAAGAACTTCACTGAAGATAACATCCAGGATTTTGGCTTAATGGAACCTTAGTTGTGTCAGCGTAAGTGATGTGGTGAGCTGCAGCGAACAGTAATAGTGGAGATTTCAATTTGATGTTTCACGAGGTTTAGGAAGACCAAATTACCTCATATATACTATGCTAATTAAAACGCCAGTATTTTGTAGTCCGCAATAACGTGATTAGCTGGAATCCACAGTTCCCTTTTTCAGTAGCTTTGTGCCCTGAAGAGAAGCCCATATACAGTAGGTGGGCTAACTCATGAAATGTCAACCGAAATTCCGAAATGCGATTTCGTTTCGAAGAGATTATTTAAGTAGGATTGTGAAACTAGTCGGCCCGCAAATATTTAAATGACCTCCGGATGACGGCCTAAGAATGACC